TCACTTTCTCTCCATGTTTCACTTCAATCTTCACTTGGGTGTAAATCCCTACTTCAATCTTTGTTCATTCTAGTGTTCTAGTGATGTTGAGCTCAGGCATTGTCCATCTTTCCACTCTAGTGTAAATCGCAACTTTTCTCTTTGTAGGGGTGAGTCCAAATGTGAGTTTCTCTCACTTTCTCTCCATATTTCACTTCAATCTCCACTTGGATGCAAATCGCTACTTCAATCTTTGATGTTCCTAATGTTCTGGGAGTCATGAGCTCATGCATTATTGGTTTTTCACTCTAGTGTGAATCGTCGCTTTCCCTTGTGTATGTGTATACCCGGAAGTAAGTTCTACTCACATTTCACCATGTGCCCCTTCATCCTTCACTTGAGAGTGAACAATAACCTGATCGGTTGTGTCCACCATAGTGAAGGGAGTATTATGACTGTCCAACTTCCCATGTGCATGACTGATGTTCTTTCCCACTCCCCCCTGTGCTCTAATCAAATTACCGATTGCTCTCCCCCCCCCCCCCCCCCCGGTATTCTATTTGAACGCGGTAATTGAAAAATGAATGGGGGAATGTTTGTCAACTGTTTGAACCATTGTTGTTGCTGTTGTTGCTGGTAGATGTATATCCATAGTTGCTGCTAAGGTATGGCCAAGCCAGACTGCTGCTGCTGCAACGAAAATAAGTGGCCAACCACCCGGTGCGGGGCCGCTCCGAAAACAGCGAACGGGCCAATATGACCCAGGAGCACGCCTATGACAAACCTGTCAAACCTGGGATATGAGGCCTGAAACTTCTCAGACCTCATATCCTAGGCATAAACAGGTGGCCTGCAGACCCAGCAGGCCGTCGGAGTCCGTTTGTCTGAAAAATCAGAAAACAAACTTCCCCGAATTGTTCGCCTTGATCCCGGACGGCGCCCGAAATAGGCAAGTAGGACCAAACGACATCAGAATCACACCAAACTTTGCAGGGGCCTTCCCTGTGATACGGACAGAGGGCCCGCCAAGTTTGGAGTGATTCTGAGGTCGTTTGGGGTAGGAAACATAGACCTGTTACAATCCTGATCATTTCCCAAGTGCAAATTCACAATGAAAGACAATGCTACCCAATTGCGAAAGAAATGAAAGCACTTGCAAAGAGATAAAGACCAGAAGAGAGGGAAAGAAGAAGAAGAAGAAGAAGAAGAAGAAGAAGAAGAAGTACCCCAGCAAGACTAATGACAATTCCCCCTTCTCTCTCCACCTTCCTCCTCCTCCTTCACTTCACCAATCTTATTCTCCTTTCAATAATAATAATAACAATGAATGGATGAACCAGAATCAATATCCGAAGTTCCCTCTTACTGCTGACTCAACTCAACAACAACAACAACAACACCATAGCTATGGCTTCCCTCCTTCAGCCTCCTCTCTCATGCATAGGCTATGGCGGACTACTCCAAGCAGCTAGGGTGCTGCGCTGATGTCCAAAGGACAACCCAAGCAGCTATGGTTCTGCGCTGATGTCCAAAGGACAACGCAGAGCAGCTATGTCGCTGCTGACTTGGTCCGCTATGCCTGACTCTGCCTCGAGCTTCCCTGGTGCAGCACTACCCCAACTGGGGCCTTCCAGATGCAGCGCCCAACAAGGTGATGAAGATGGTGTTTTCCATAGCCAGGTAAGTGCCCTGCCACTCTCCTACCATGCCCCCTTCTTCCTCCTCCTCAAGCTGGGTTGCTCGCCATAGCCAGACTGAGCTCCCAGCGGCCCTTCTCCCTCCGAGCAGCGTTGTACCTCCAGCGCTGTGCTCCAGCAGCATGTCGCCAATCCTTGCACACCGCGAATGAGGAAGAGCTCTTCGCTCTTCCTGAACATATAGCGGCCTACCGGCCTCCTGGGCGGTGACTTCCTAGGCCAAGCGGCCTCCCAGCAACCGGTACCTCCTCCCTTTCGGAGGGAAACATCATTGCAAGCTCTGTTATTGTCCGGACAGGCCCTAGACCCGGGCTACTTGGACTGGTACCGGCCTACCTCTAGCCTACCGCTACTGGGCCTCTAAAAATGCCAACCTTTTGTCTTCTTCTGCTCGGCCTCCAGTACCCGACACTCATGCCACTACTCGCGTGGTACCGGCCTACCTGCTCTAAGTGTCGCGGCCTACCCCCCTGCTACTTGAGTGTTTACCCCCCTGCAACCCTCACAGTCACGGCCACAAGTAAGTACCGGCCCGACGGGCCTTGCAACCAACAAGTACCCTTGCGGGTCACACACACACACCCAACCGGCAAGTACTCAGACAGGCATGCAAACCAGTAAGCACGCACACACACACAACTGGTAAGCATTGAGACAGGCATGCAAACCAGCAGGCACACACACACACAGACTTGGAACCACAGCAGAATGCGGGAATCACAGCAAGGCATTCATTCCAGTGACAAATCCCAGAAATCAGCAGTGTTCTTAGTCTGTGTTTTTGGCGGGTCATTACATTACTCCCCTCTCGAGAGCGAGGTCCCTTCGAGCGAGTAACTCAGTCAGAGTCGGCACATAACGCATCGTAGGAGTACATCAGAAAGAGAGACTTAGTAAGTCCATGAGGAGTCATTGTCGCAACGAACTTAGCAGTCTGTCCCTCAGCGATCTATCTTTCATAAGCGTTCACAACACGGTGAGCATTCTTTAGCAGCTCTTTTCGGTCGATCCAGAAGAATTCAGTCAACGGGTGATAGAGGAAGTGAACCTTACATTGTCTGTTCCTCCCTCTGCCCTCGTGAGAGACGATCCTGTCTATCTCATGACCGCCGTCGATAGGTCGAGGTATCATAGGATCTCGGACGGGAAAAGTCTCATCATCAATGTGTGGGAACAGTTTGGACGCATGAAAAACTGGATACGTGCGCAGATGAGGAGGCACGTCAACTACAAATGAAGGACCAAAATCATCCCCAATTACCTTCAGAATCTGCCAAGGGCCATAGTATAATGGAAGAAGCTTTCATGATATGCCTTCTTCATCAGAAAACTCAGACATTTTGACCCAAACATAATCCCCTACTTTGAATTTCTCTTCTTTGCGGAACTTGTTAGCATGTTTGATCATGCCATGCTGGCGCTTGTTCATGGCTGCGGTCACAACTTTGAGCAAGCGTGCGTACTTGGCATTGTAGCCAGGCATGTCGGGCATCAGACCAGGTGACCGTTCGGGGAACAGATAGGAGAGGGGATTGCGCATTGGCCATCCATATTGCAACTGGTTTGGTGTCACACCAGTTGCAGAGTGAATGGAGTTGTTGTACAGCCCCTTTACTTTGTGCAACTCTTTGTCCCATGTGTTCTGATCTGGAACAATCAACGCGCAAAGTAGTTGGATGACAGTCTGGTTGATCTCCTCAGCCAATCCGTTGGCTTCGGGGTGTCGACCAGAAGTCCTGTTCAGTTTGATGTCGTAGATCTGAGACGTGAAGTCCCTCCAATCTTTACAGATGAATCGGGTGTCCCGATCGCTTACAATGGTTTTCGGTTGGCCATACTGCAAAATATACTGCTGGTGGAACTCTTCGATGAGAAGTTTTGTTGGGGCATGGGGAGGAAAAGGGATCAGGTTCACGAATTTGGAGAAACGATCCACTATTACCATGACTTGTGAATTCCCTGCTACACTCACCTTTCCCATGTTTGTGAAGTCGATGGAAATCGACTCACCGGGTCCATTGGGAATGGGGAGGGGTCTAAGCAGGCCATAAGGCTTATGCCTGTGGACCTTGGTTCCCTGACATACCTGGCATTCAACAATAAATTTCTGAGCAGATCCTTTCATCCCTGGCCAATCAAACTGCTGCAGAAGACTTCCATAAGTCTTCTCAAAGCCAAAATGTCCACTCCGAACATGCGCCAAATCCAAGAAATGAGTTCGGAGAGGCGCATGGTTGGGTACACACAAACGGTCAAACTTCCCATACCGGCGGAATACAAAACCCTCGCATTCATGAGAATCAGGCTGACTGTTAGGGTCAGCCTTGAGCTGCTCAAGGATGGGAGTAAGGTCCGGGTCCTTGGCGGTGTGTTCGATCAGATCCTCCTTCAGTTTCCTTCGGAGGTCGTACGAACCCACAAGGCAAGTCAAGAATTCAGGATGGCGCAACAATGCATCAGCAACCCGGTTATAACAACCTTTCTTGTGTTTCAATTCAAAGCTGTAGACATCAATGTCATGCAACCAGCGGGTCAATGTAGGAGAGAGTTCTGATTGTGTCTGAATCCACTGCAAGGTCTGATGATCTGAGTAGACCTTAAAGTGGCGACCCAAGAGGTAGTGCTTCCAATGTGCGAGAGCTTCGCGTAGGGCATAGTGCTCACGCATATACGTGGAAGTAGCTACCTTGTGGCTGGGCATGCGTTTGCTGTAATACTCGAGCGGACGCAAGCCATCACCATCATCTTGTTGCATCACTGCACCAATCCCGAACTGGCTCGCATCCGTAGTGACTACGAACGTGAGATTGGGATCTGCAATGCGAAGCACAAGATGACTCACCAATGCCTCTTTCAAGGCTTGGAACGCAGTCTCACACTTCTCACACCATGCATAGGCAACATTCTTGCTGGTTAGTCTTGAGAGAGGGTGAGCAATGACATAGAATTTGGGCACAAACTTCCGGTAAAACGAGGCCAGACCAAGAAAAGAACGCAGTTCGCGTACATTTGCTGGTTGAGGCCACTTTCGGATGACCTCAACCTTGGTTGCCTCCGGCTTAAGGCTGTTTGCAGACAACCGATGCCCAAGATAGATGACGCTGTCCCTACCAAACTCATATTTCTCCAAGTTCAGGTGCAGTTGCGCCTCCTTGAGGACCTGCAAAACTTCCTCAAGGTGCCTGAGATGCTCTTCCATGGTCTTGCTGAAGATCAGGATATCGTCAAGGTACACAACCACAAACCTGTTGAGTTGATGGCGAAGTACCTTGTTCATGAGGCACTGGAATGTGGCCGGTGCATTCGTAAGACCGAAGGGCATAACGATCAACTCGTACAGCCCGTCGCATGCCTTGAATGCAGTCTTGTGCTGGTCACTCGGATCAACTTCAATCTGGTGGTAGCCAGATTTGAGGTCGATCTTGGAGAAGACCTTGCACCCACCTGCCGCATCTAGCAGATCATCTATGCGAGGCAAAGGGTAAGCATTCTTCCTTGTCATCCGATTAAGGCCACGGTAGTTAATACACATCCGGAGTTTGCCTCCTTTCTTTGGCACAAATAGGACAGGTGCACCGAACTCAGACTCACTAAGCCTAATCCATCCACGGTCAATCATATCATCAATCTGCCTCCTGAACTCCTCCAACTCGCCTCGTCCCATACGGTAGACGCAGCCCTTTGGAGGAACACTCCCCTCTATTATCTCGATTTTGTTTTTGACCGGACGCTCGGGAACTCCATGAGGTTCGGCCAAAACTTCAGCGCATCGATCTAATAGCCGGCAAATGTTCGCTGGGACTTCCGGTGGAGGATCATCCTCATCAGGAGAAAGAAAATTAAACTGAAAATTTACAGCAATGACAACCGGATTAGAAGTACTTGGACCAGAAGTAGAAGGATTATTCACAGTAGAAGTAGATGGATTAGAAGTAGAGTTACTTACCGAGGTAGAAAACGCAGCAAAAGTAGAAGGCACATGGATACGCTTTACAAGAGCTATATGTACATGCTCAATCTCCTTGCGCCTGCACACTGATTTGCAGAATTTGGTTGCACTTAGAAGAGTCACAGGGGACTCGCGCGTCTCATCCAATAGGACGGTATGCTCGTTCCCCTTGGCATCACGCACCACGAATTGGTTGTCCGCCCACGTGGTCCTTAGGCAATGAGCCTTTAACCAGCCCAAGCCAGCGACCGCGTCGAACGGACACTTGTCCATGACATAGAAGTTGAGCTCATGTGTGACAGTGCGGTCCTTGTCAAAGGTAACGCGCACACCTTTGACAGCATGTGTAGATGTGACAACCACTTGGTTGCCCCCATATCGGAGTCCGGCTCTAGATCGTCATCTAGAGTCAGATTATCCGCATAGGACTGATCTTCAGCCTCCCGATGATCATGCAGTGCAAGCTGGTTTCTGCTTCCAAACCGCTTGCGTTGTGGTTTCCCACCTGCAGCGGGCGCCTTCTTCTGCCTGGCGAGGTCCTTGGCCTCTAGGTTGACTAGATCCGTCATGAGCTCTCGCCAGGTGGTATGGTCTTTGAGTGCCAACACGGAGAGGTATTCTTTGGGGGTCACTCCCATGACTACATCCATACAAGACACATCGGTCATACCCAGATCCGGAGTAGTGAACAGACCAGTCAAGTGTTGTTCCAAAAAGCTTGCATGAAGGACCTCCATGTCTGACCCTTGAGGGCCTCAAGCTTCGGCTTAGCCTTGAGCGCAGCATCCTTGTCTTGGTACCGTGCGAGGAGAAGGTCCTCAAGGGCGCGTACAGGGGTGACCTTCAGCCATTCAGTCAGGTCTACTCGTTCATAGCCTGCAGCAACAGCTTGGAGCTCAATGTGGTTTCGTACGGCGGGCTCAGTATTAGTCCCCATGATCATACTTCGGTCCTCTTGCGGTGTCCGCATGACCTCAAAGTACGACCGCATGGAACTAATCCAAGAGGTGATGTCTGCCTTCCCGTCGTACTTGGACGGCAGTGTGGCCGCCTGCTTGTCCACCATGGGACCGCTGTACTAAACGCCAGTAGGGATTGTGGCGTTTTGGGCTGAAGTCCCTGCATTTGGGACCATGACCAGCACAAAACTGCCGGTGTTGCCGCTCGAGGAGCTGGCGCCGGTTCCTGCGCTTGCCACAGTTCCGCTTGCCCTTATTGCGAGGACTGTGTTAGTTTGAGAGACCGGGACTACAGCACGTCGAGAGTTAGGAGGGCGGGGGGCAGACAGTTGGGACTGTTTGAGGCTGATTATCTCAGCCTACAGCTCTTGGTTCCGCTGCTCCAACGCTGTTACGCGGGACTCAAGATCCTCCAAGTTCCGCAGTTGAACTAAGGCTGCTACGGCAGCAGCTAGCCTCTCCTGGAACCGGTCAGCATTGGCTTCCGGGACCTGTAGGAGGGTCACCTGAGCAGCTATGCTTAAAGCCCTGGTTGTTGCCTCTGCCTCCCTCTCCCTCTGTACGGCGTCGTCATACAATTTTTGAAAGAACGGTTTTTGGCTCTCGTCCGCTGTGTCCAGCATGGCCTGCCATTGGGCAGATGTGATGTCTGCCATGCCGGAGGAAGGGGTGTCAGTAGATCTCTCAAGAGGGGTCCGCTCTCTCCTTACGTTTGGACGAACACTCCTCTTGCCCCTCCTCACACTCTCAAACAGAACACCTTCTCTCTCCCTTTCTTCTCTTCTTGCTATCTGCGCACGCGTCTCGATACTGGACGTAGATAGTTCAGATGAAAGAAACAAGCAGAAAGTCACACAGAGAAGAAGGTAGAACTCCTAGCTGGAGCGACAATTCATTTGGACTCAGAGAATGGCACGCAGCGGAAAAAGAATTAAAAAAAAAAAAAAAAAAAAAAAAAAAAAAAAAAAAAAAAAAAAGGACTGACTTATAGAACGGGCCCAATCAGATCAGCTGGAGATCCCCTCGTCTAACCTGACAAGGGACATGCATCACGATAAGTCAGTCGAAGAAACCCAACTGCAGCAATGAAGATTTCGAGGGGTGTAGACGGTCGCCGAGTCAGACACGGGGCAGTATGTGATAACAGGCGGTAAGACCAGTCAAGATCCCCTTGAAAGGAATGCCCTTGCTAGCCGTATGTCCCCCAAGTTCAGCGCAGCAAAGATATGCACAGGCGGCAACAGATTTGGGCCCAAAAGGTCCTGTCCCGTTGGACCTGGTCCCACTGGGTCCCTAGGGGTCCCAAGTAGGTCGTGGACTAGGACCAACGTGATAGGGGTACCAAGTCGGTCCCAAACTGCCTCTACCGTACTGAAAAGGAAAAGACAACTTTCAGCAAGAACTTACCCCTACAGCCGTTCAGAAATGAAAAGACCGTAGAAAGATATGTCATTTAGATCAGATACATCATCCATCCATCCATCAGGTGAGAAAGCAATCCTCATGCTCACACACACAACCAAGACCGCAGAGAAGAGGAAGAGAGCCCATCACACCCCCAACAGGCCATGAAGCACCAAGCAACCTCCCACGGGCATACCCAGGTCACACGGCAGTTACCTGTGAGGCCCGGCCTCCAAAGATGGATAACGAGTCACCCCCCTCTCTCATAAGTCCTCCTGACCCCTAGCTACCACTACACGAAGTGTCCTAGCATGACTAAGAGGGCCTTCCTACACCCTTGTTGCAAAGCCGGATCCCCCGTCGATGCCTGAAGACCAAAGTAGCAACTTGCAGCAATCCGATGCAGATATGGCAGCCTCCGATCAAGTCTCCCTCTTGAGGGAAAGCCCAAAAGTCACTCAATGTCTTCCTGAAGTCCAGATTCCAGGTGCGAGTACCTCTCACTCTCTACTCCCTCTCGCTTACTCCAATTAGCCTCCTTTGTGTCTCGCCACCCCATCCATTTACTCAGTCAACCTGGTTAGGTCAAATGTCGACCCAACATGACCTAACCAGGTGGGGGCAGTATCCACATACCTCACTGCCCGTTTAACCCTAACTTCCAACCCTAATCAGAGAATAGGTTTGCCCTAACCTAACTCGGAATTAGGTTTAGGGTGACTAACACCTCTCGCCAGCAAGTAAGTCCGCTCCGATACCAATTGTTACGATCCTGGTCATTTCCCAAGTGCAAATTCACAATGAAAGACAATGCCACCCAATTGTGAAAGAAATGAAAGCACTTGCAAAGAGATAAAGACCAGAAGAGAGGGAAAGAAGAAGAAGAAGAAGAAGAAGAAGAAGAAGAAGAAGAAGAAGATGTACCCCAGCAAGACCAATGACAATTCCCCCTTCTCTCTCCACCTTCCTCCTCCTCCTTCACTTCACCAATCTTATTCTCCTTTCAATAATAATAATAACAATGAATGGATGAACCAGAATCAATATCCGAAGTTCCCTCTTACTGCTGACTCAACTCAACAACAACAACAACAACACCATAGCTATGGCTTCCCTCCTTCAGCCTCCTCTCTCATGCATAGGCTATGGCGGACTACTCCAAGCAGCTAGGGTGCTGCGCTGATGTCCAAAGGACAACCCAAGCAGCTATGGTTCTGCGCTGATGTCCAAAGGACAACGCAGAGCAGCTATGTCGCTGCTGACTTGGTCCGCTATGCCTGACTCTGCCTCGAGCTTCCCTGGTGCAGCACTACCCCAACTGGGGCCTTCCAGATGCAGCGCCCAACAAGGTGATGAAGATGGTGTCTTCCATAGCCAGGTAAGTGCCCTGCCACTCTCCTACCATGCCCCCTTCTTCCTCCTCCTCAAGCTGGGTTGCTCGCCATAGCCAGGCTGAGCTCCCAGCCGCCCTTCTCCGTCCGAGCAGCGCTGTACCTCCAGCGCTGTGCTCCAGCAGCATGTCGCCAATCCTTGCACACCGCAAATGAGGAAGAGCTCTTCGCTCTTCCTGAACATATAGCGGCCTACCGGTCTCCTGGGCGGTGACTTCCTAGGCCAAGCGGCCTCCCAGCAACCGGTACCTCCTCCCTTTCGGAGGGAAACATCATTGCAGGCTCTATTATTGTCCGGACAGGCCCTAGACCCGGGCTACTTGGACTGGTACCGGCCTACCTCTAGCCTACCGCTACTGGGCCTCTAAAAATGCCAACTTTTTGTCTTCTTCTGCTCGGCCTCCAGTACCCGACACTCGTACCACTACTCGAGTGGTACCGGCCTACCTGCTCTAAGTGTCGCGGCCTACCCCCCTGCTACTTGAGTGTTTACCCCTCTGCAACCCTCACAGTCACGGCCACAGGTAAGTACCGGCCCGACGGGCCTTGCAACCAACAAGTACCCTTGCGGGTCACACACACACCCCCAACTGGCAAGTACTCAGACAGGCATGCAAACCAGTAAGCACGCACACACACACACAACCGGCAAGCATTGAGACAGGCATGCAAACCAGCAGGCACGCACACACACAGACTTGGAACCACAGCAGAATGCAGGAATCACAGCAAGGCATTCATTCCAATGACAAATCCCAGAAATCAGCAGTGTTCTCAGTCTGTGTTTTTGGCGGGTCATTACAGACCTGTGTTTTCCGGCTGTCCGTCCTTAGTCAAAAACGGCAAAAACGGCAGAAATGCCGAAATCTGCAATCTGCAAATTCTGCGATTTTTCTGCAAACTGTATTTGCTGCAAAGCTGTGTTTTTCTGCATATTGGCTGAAAAAGAATATTGTTGTAGGTCTGGAGTTTGTGTCCGGGGCTAGGGATAGCTTAGAGGGACAAACCCGGACACGTAGAATAGGAAACAAAGACCGCCACCTCACACCTTCTTCCTCCTCCATCTCCTTCACCCATCCTTCATAGCCAACCGCCTGGTACCTTCTTCCTCCTCCATCCTCTTGACCCATCCACCATAGCCAACCACCTCACACCTTCTCCCTCCTCCATCTTCTTCACCCATCCACCATAGCCAACCGCCTTGCCCATCCACCATAGCCAACGACCTCACACCTTCTCCCTCCTCCATCTTCTTCACCCATCCACCATAGCCAACTGCCTCGCACCTTCTTCCTCCTCCATCCTCTTCACCCATCCACCATAGC